ACCCCCCCCCCCCCAGTAATTATTTTTTTTTATGACCAAGAAACGACAAATGCAGTTTTAGGGACACCTGAATAGACATAAGGGTCTTGAACATCTAGCTCTCACTGGCAAAAATTGAGGGCAAGCGAGGCAGGGGTAGGCCCAGAACAACATACTTAGGGAACCTAAACAAATGGGTACTGGTAACAGGGAAAGATCAGGGAAACGTAGCTTTTTTTTTAGAGCATCCGAGCAAAGGAATGAATGGAAAACCATGGTCGCCGATGTCTGTCGCAGATCTGACACTGGATGATGATGTCCAAGATATATCATCCGACAATTTTTATGATTGCAAACCTAAAAAAAAAAGTGTGGTCAACCTTTCTGTTCAGTCGTGAGTAGGGACTAACAGCGAAAATAAAATAGAAGCAACAGAAATACGTGTGGGTTCTCGGGAGACTTTAGAACTTCATGGACGGAAAATACGTAAATCAGATGAGGTAGATCGCTCAGGGGCAAAATCTGACTTGTTCGACAGGGTAATGACAATAAAAAATCAAATAGTATGAAGCCACACACGAAAAGCTTTCCAATAATAAGAGCATATTGAGCTTCTTTAAAAAAATATTCGAGGCGGCATTACTGAGTTGTGAATGAAAACAAATTCTGAATTCACATTGTGCGTTCACCAACCAAAATAATCGAGAAAAGATTTATGTTTTACCACTTTAGGCAAAACGTAATTTCACGTAACCTCGCGGTTTAAAGGTCACAACACGTTTTAAACAGTAAATCTAACAAAAAATGTGAATACACAAACAGGAGGCAAAGAAGCAGAAATGTCAATACTACTAATGTATTATCAATTGATTTGTTTACAAATTTGACTGTCATTATCCAGCCTTTTGTGGCCAGGAATTGATGTCTTAATTAATGAATGAAGCATCGTTACAATGATCTAGTAGCATACCTACTTTTGCATTCCCCTGTATATGACACACGACGATTATCTTTAATAAAATGGATATAGATTTTGCTGGTGTTGTAGGGACATAAGTAGATAGAGAAGGTCCAAAAAGGCCGTGTTTTGGGTACTGGTCTGAAAAGGCCTTGTCTTGGGTAATGATCTAAAATCGAGGTGGTTTTGGGTAGTGTTCTAAATGGAGCTGGTTTTGGGTAATGATCTAAAATCGAGGTGGTTTTGGGTAGTGTTCTAAATGGAGCTGATTTTGGGTAGTGTTTTAGTGTCGAGGTGGTGTATGGTAGTGTTGTATGTGTATGTGATTTACGGGGGGAAACAAAAAGTTGCGTTGTTTTAGATTGAGTAGAAAATGTTGATGTTGTGGGTTTAGGTGGGAAGTGGTAATGTTCGAGGTATCCCGTGTGGTTGTTGTTGTTTTTTTTTTGGTGATATGTTGGAAAAGCAGCCCAGGCGCCCGGGAAAAAAGATGGTATGTTTTTTGTTTTATGTGATCCTGCCCCACGAGTTTTTTGTTGATCTTTAAATTCCTTAGTATGTGTTGTTGCGTGTGTGTGTGTGTGTGAGCACATGGTGTGTTGGGAGTAAACAGATCGATGTCACCGCGCGTGGATTAAATGGATTTTTTATGTAACATATGTGACATCTATGAGTTATATTTATCTTTAAGTTCATTGGGGTGTGTGTGTGTGTGTGTGTAGTTGGAGAGGGTGGGGTGAAAAACAACAAGAACAACAACAAAAACAACAAAAAACAAAACAAAAACAAAACAAAACAAAAAACAACAACAACCAACGAACAAAACAAACTAACTTGAAACTTATGTATCCAATCAAAACAAAATTCCCACAATGCAATGGTGACTAGTTGCGTAAGGTATAAAAATGCAATCTGCGGAGCTGGATTTAAAAAACTTTGTTTTCAGTTGTAGAAAAAGATGAGAGCAGGAGTTACTACGAATTTTCCTTTGGGAAAAGATCTATATGTGACATGTTCGAAGTCGAGCAAAGTGGGAAAATCAGAGTTGAAGTTCGTGAAGTGTAAAGTGGTACAATCTCTACTGACTCCGAATCAAAGTGTGGTTATTCCTTCGAGAGTAGGTATCACCCTTTCAAAGAAACAGTTTGAACAATTGGTGAAAAATATTCCTTGTATCCAGTCGTGTATGGATTCTTTAAACGAGGGACCGAACGAGGACCCTAACAGTTGTGATATGACTCTCAGTGGAAACATTTCGAGCTTTTACAGTCGATGGGATACAAACAGGGACCAGCCACCGAGAGAATGATTACGAGTGGTCAGAAGTGTCAGTGATTTTTTTCTTTTCCTTACTATGCTCGGAGACCATGAGTGAGAATTAAAGGAATAGAAAAATTCCCATGTTTTCTGTGGTTTAGTGTGTTTACGTGTATGTATGTGAGGTGTGGTCATTGGTGTTTGAAGAAGAAAAAAAACTGTGTGAAAAGATGGATTTGAACAAAAAACAACGAGCACATTTCTCGGGAGAAGGAGAAAGGCGAAAACGTACTTCACAGGATGGTGAGAATACTTTAGACGAGAGCAAACGCTCAGGTAAGAAACCACGTTTGGTGTTAAAATTGGTGAGAGGGGAAGATGCTGAGTGGGAGGTACAACAACCCCAACTACAACCGCTCGAGTTAGTGCGAGAAGAGGAAGATTCTCGTTTAGAGGGAGCTTTACCCGCTGTTCAACCTCATCTGAGACAAACATACAAGGACAACTGGTCATCGATTAAAAGTAGATTTAAAGAACCTACACAGAACAAAAACCACGCTTTTTACAACATCAGATGGGAAACACAAGACAAACCTCAAGATTGGGAAAGTGTTTTGAGGAGTATTTTTAATCGCCAAACCAAGCGCTTTAAGATCAACTACAGTCATAGTTTTATCCTGTATAACCGTGAATTGGAACAATACAGATTCTACCATGCCTCTAACAACGTAGGTCGAGTGTTGGAAGTACCACGTCACATTAACAATTTTGACAATTTTAGGGACTTCATGAAGACAATCAACAATCGTGACATATTAGCGTACGCGATTAATCATCGTCCGTCATCAAAATGGGTTGTATCGATGATTACGAGCACGACGTTTTTTGTTGATTCTATACGGGATTTTCCTATCGGATGTTGTTTTACGACTCCAGTACCTACAAAAATAAGAAACAGTAAGGGTATCTTTGTATTGGAAAAGGATCAAAAAAGTGGGAGAGTCTACAACGATCAACTCTGTGTTTTCCGATGTTTAGCTTTGGCAAAAGGAGCCTCTCTACATTCCATCAACCGACCAGCTAAAGAACTGAAGAAAAGTTGGGGGAGGAAAACCGTGAAGCTCAGTAACTTGGTAAAACTAGAAGAACATTTTAATATCAACATAGATGTTTTTACCTTTGACAACGACGAGGATTGCCTTCAACCACATGTAAGAAGTGAGCGTCGATACACGGACACTATGTACGTTTTATTTCATGAAAACCATTTTTGTTACATCAAGGACATAGATAGACTAACACATTCATTTGGCTGTTCGAAATGTGGGAAGTTATGGAAAAAAAAAGCTCGTTTAAACAGACACGAACGGTCGTGTAACGGACCAACAGGACAACAACAAGTCTACCCCGGTGGTGTTTATCAAATACCACAGACAAGTCTTGAAATTCTAAAAGAGAATGGGATCAATGTAGATACAAACTTTATGTATCCTTTTAGAGCTGCCTACGATTTTGAAGCATATTTCAAACAGACGGATAAAAAGTCGGACAAAACAAAATACACCGCGGAACACGTCCCCATGTCTCTCTGTATTTGTTCTAATGTACCAGGTTTTACCAGTCCTAAATGTTTTGTTAGTGATGGAGACTCACAAAAGTTGGTAGACAGAATGGGTGATTATCTAGAAGAAATTGCCGATAAAGCTTACACTCTTTTAAAAGAAGACTTTGCTTCTGCTTACGAGGAGATTTACAATAGGAACGATACGAAGTTACTCAACGTGTTGGACAATTATCTTCGTCAAGTGCCAGTTGTTGGTTATAACTCAGGGAGGTATGATATAAATCTGATAAAACCCTATTTCGTTAAACGGTTCGTACTCGAAAAGGATGATGATGATGAGGAGGAGGAGGAGGATGAGGAGAAGGAGGCGGAATATAAACCTACAATCATCAAAAGAAATAATGATTTCATATCCGTCCTCACAAAAAAATTCATTTTCCTGGACATTACGAACTTTTTGGCCCCTGGTTTTAACTATTCTAGATATTTAGCAGCATACGGCGTGTCTGAGAAAAAAGGATTTTTTCCTTATGAATACATAACTGATTTAAGTCAGCTTAAAGAGACAGCGCTACCACCCAAAGAAGCCTTTTACAGCTCGTTGAAGAATTCTCACATTTCTGATGAAGATTACACCTACTGTCAACAAGTTTGGAGTGAGAAA